CAGCAAGGGGCCTGACAGAAAAAGTAGATAGGTCCTAGTAAGATGAGGAGCAGTTATATCAGGTATAGCTGAACATGCCAGATGGGAGGGTAATAGATTATGGTTAGACAGTAGGATCTCTGAATTAGTGATTTCAGAGATGGGGCAGTTATAGGTATTAGCAAGTTCCAAGATGTGCCCATGGGAGTGGGTAGCTAAGGTTGGGTGGAGGAGAATATTATCCTATATAATAAAAGCCTAATATGCTAAGTGTCTGACCGTTTGTTCAACTGTTCGACCAGTCGCTATGACATGCACTGACCGCGAGGGGGTAGACACTCCGACTGGTAGGTTAGCTTGCTGCTGGGGTCCAGCAGATCAGGACTGGGTGAGATGGGCTGGACATGCCCTGGGGCCCTCCCTTGGTCCCTCCTTGACCTCAATTGTGCACCAATGGGGTCCCTCGGCCTAGCCTGCGCCCTCTTGCAATCCAGGACCCCTCGGGGGATGTCGCAGAGCCGGTTTTGGCCAATCCCTGCAGGCCAGGCCGAGGGACCCTACCGGTGCATGAATCCGTGCACCAGGCCTCTAGTTGTAAATAAGAGGTCAAGAAATGGATAGGGCAGATGAGACCTCCATAAGGATGTGAATAGACAGATATATACATGCATACATAAAATATATATATATATATATCACTCACTGCATATGCATGGACACATAGGTATAAGTATATGTACAAATGCATGCCTGCACATATATATACACACAAGTCACGTCCATTAGACTAAGCCATGCAAGTTCATGCACATACACTCACAAATGGCCTGGAATTCCCTCTGATGTCTGAGCCTGTTTAGATGGGCTTTGGAGAAGCAGGCATGCATCCTTAGGAGGATTCTGAGTCAGTCCTGGCAGACAGGGCTCAGCCAGTCATGCTCAGGAGTTGTAGGGACGGGGGGCACCTAGAATTTAACAGACCCAGCTGTACCAGGGCGTGAAGACTGCTGCTCCACTTTTCTTCTACCATTCTTCTACCATCTGTGCTATATGCCCCGCTGCAATTTCTGGGTGCTCTGAAGGGGTGGGGCTGGGGCCAGCTGGGACAGAGTAAGGAAGAAGAGACCTTCTTGGGTTCCTCCAGAAGTATTTCTGCCTCCCCTCCCCTGGGAGTGGACAGCAGAAGAAACTGCTGAAGGGAAGGTTGTTGTCTACGATTGAGTACGACTTTTTCTGACCTTGGAGCATTCAGAGTCCCAATCAGCGCAGTAATAAATTAAGGGCTTATGGAGGAATAAATTCTCGGCCTTAATGAAGTTCTTTGCTGGGGGCCATAGGCAGGTCAGCAGGTCGGGGATGAAGCAGATTGGAGGCTCCAGCAAGTGAGCTGAGCTAGCTGGGCAGCCATCAGAAGTGGAAGGATCTGAAACTCCGTTGGTCAGGTCACTTTTTGGTGTTGTGGGGATAAAGCTGCATGAGTGTAGGCAGCCTGACAGAGGCTGGGACTCTATAGAACGCTAGCTGCATGGTGCTGGCTGCAGATTGGGGCTATTCAGAAGCTGATTTGGAAAAAAACAGTAATGAAACAAAAAGGGAAACCAAGAGAGGCATGAAGATCTAGGGGCCCTGTGATGTGTTTATTTTGTTTTATTTTGGAGTGAGGAGGACCACTCAGTGGTAGGAACCAGAGTGGTCCAGGTCTTTGGCATCATCTGAAGTACAGTGTTGTCTGTGGGGCAGCAGGCAATTATAGGCTGTTCTCCTGGTGGGAGCCAGTTCAGAGGCCAGGAAGACAAGGGCCTCTAGCTATCTTTGGGAAGAAATACTTGTACAGAGGACAAGACACAGACGCCAGGTATAAATGAGGG